ACATATATATCACTAACCAGTGTTCATTGTCTGTCTAGTTCTTTTTTTTTGAGGTGATGTTTACATAGGCTCAAACCTTCAGTGCTCATTTTCTGATACCATTCTTTGATCCAAGCCACTCAACCCACATGCCTGTGAAGAGACAGAGCATTGTCAGCACCTCAGAAAGTTCCTTCTTCCAAGCCAGTCCCCATTCCTGTTCTCCAGTAGCAACCACTCTTGACTTTTTTAAAAAAATTATAAATTAGTTTCACCTCTTCTGGAGCTTCATATACAGAGAATCTAGTACCATTTGTGACAAAGAATTTCTCTCTTATTAGTGTCATCAAAAATAGAATGACTGCATATTTGATGTGGGTATATTTATGAGTTCTCCATTGTTTGTTTATGCCTATGCTATACCACACTCTTGGTAACTGTAGCTTTATAGCCAATCAGTGTAAGTCCTTCAACTTTGCTATCTCATTCATATTGCTTTAGCTGTCGTGTATTCTTTGCATTTCCATGTAAATTTTGGACTCTGCTTGCCAATTCCAAAATACTAGGATTTGGAGATAATCGACATGTTAATAATATTGAGTGTTCTGATCCATGAACATGGTATACTTTTTCATTTATTAGGTCTTTTATTTTTACCAGTTGTGCTCTTTTATTTTTTTTAAATCAATGTAGTGGTCTTGCACTTGCTTTGTTAGATTCATTCCTAAGTGCTTTTATTTTTTATTTGGTACTATTGTAAAAACAGAGTTACATTTAAAATTTTCTTAATTTAAAGTTAAGTAGCCGATTTAATCATTCCACAATGTGTGTGTGTGTGTGTGTGTGTGTGTGTGTGTGTGTATAAAACAGTATTACATTGCACCCCATAAATTTAGGCAATTGTTAATTTGTCAAAAAATAAAATTAAAAAAAATCAAACTTTTAAACTCAAAAAAATGACAATTTATATTTGTGTATTAAACTTGTATCCTTCACTTATTGTAGATTCTTTAGGATTTTTCCAAGTCACCTGCAAATAGAGATGTCTTCCTTTCCAATCTCTCCACTTTTTCTTTCTTTCCATTGGTTTGTTGCAGAGACTAGGAGTGCCAGTGCAGTGTTGACTCTAAGGCATAAAAATGGGCATCCTTGGTTCCTGATCTTAGGGAGTGGCAGTCAATATGTTGCCATGAGATGTGGTTATAGCTAAGTTTTTCATAGTTGCTCATTATCAGATTGGGGAGATTCTTGTCTCTTAGTTTGCTGATCATTTATTAGTATTAAAATTTGTTAGTTGCTTTTTTCTTTGGTTATTGAAACAATCATATAGTTTTTGTCTTGTATTCTATTACTGTGCTAAATTATTACTAATTTTTAAATATTAACCAATCTTGCATTCTTGGACTGAAACCCAGTTGGTCAGAGTACAATATGTTCTTAAGATATTGCTAAATAAAATTTACCAAAATTCAGGGAAGAGTTTTACATCCATGTTTGCAAGCAGTCTTCATCTATTATTTTCTTCTTTCCTCTTTGTTGGTTCTGGTATCAGGGTGATTCTGATCTCATACATCAAGTTGAGAAGGGTCATGAGAATGTTTTTTGTGAACATTTTGAATCAGAAACAAAAAGGTTGTCACACATTGACCTGTGATCTGGACATGAATAATCATTTTTGTCCTACCGAATGTTCCTGGTTATACATTCTGGAATTTGTCAAAGACTCTGAAACAGTGGTAAGGAGAGGGTTCTCTGACAAGGCTTGTAGAGTGATGAGAACAGCATCAGAACAAAGTAAGGCTAGGTCACAGCCACTGCTAAATGAAGTTAACTTTGAGCAATTGGTTTAGACATAAAATAGCTTACCCTGCTTTCCACTTTGTACAAAGCTTTTCCTTTAAATTATTACATTTCTTTTTTGATAACATCAAGAGGAAAAACTTAATAGCTATACAGTTTTAACAACTTCAAAAAGGCAACTAATGTTATTATACCAAAAGAAGATACACAGTAGACCAATTTTTTTAAAGCTTGTGTGTTATTATATGGACTGTTTCCAAAGAAAAAGAAATTTCCTGGATGTGATGTGCTGACTTTTATTATTTTTATTGCAATATTCTATAAGATTGATAAACATAAAAAGCTTTATTCTTTGTTGTTACATAACTATAAAAGCCATACATTTAAATTAAGTATAAACCAAACTTTGAAAAAATGAATCGCAAGCTAATAACATTAATTTTGTATAAGGGATGATAGTGTTTTGCTGAAACTCAGTTGGTGCCTATGATCTGAATGTAGCCCTTGGAATCAGAATGGGTGTTCCAGTTTGGCAGGCTTATGTTGCTAGGTGCCATGTGCTGATGTCATTCTTCTGCCGTTTTTCTCCATTTGAACTTGCCTGAACTGCTTGTTCATATATCACTGACTATATCCCTTTTCTGTTCATTCACTTCTGTGCCTCTGGGGTTTTTTTCTTTTTTCTTTTAGTGAAAGATTATAGAGTGTCATTCATTGTGCACCAATGCAGAAGTACATGCAGGTAGTTAAATGGTACACATACCTAGCTTCAGCCTTACGGCTCTGATCCAGATGATGTAGAGTACAGTTTATTACTTTCTTTCAGCTTATCATTAAAATGCACAATTTAGAAATCTAGAAAATGGTAGACCTTCCAGAATAGAAATCATTGTCTTTGGGCCCAACAGCACATCATTAGAAGTCTAAAAAGAGAAGGCTGGAAGTGTGGCCAAGGCCTAGAGGCCCTGATGTCCCTGTAAAGGAACATGATGGCTTCTTCCCTCCTCGAGTCCCAAGGAGCCTGAGTGAGGGGCAGAGAAGCCTGGAAGAGCATGGCCGAGGGACAGCTCCAGGTGCGCCTGTTAACCCGGCGGGCTGCCTGTGCAGCTGCTCACCCCCTGCGCTGCATACCCCAGAAAGGCTGAATCTCTTGTTTATTGTTTTCCACATTAAATATCCTCAATTCAGATGTCAGACACATGAACCTGGGACACAATAAAACACAGCTCGTGGTGCCAGGGTAGAATGCTGTGGTTTCAGAGTTTTGGGGTGTTTTTTTTTAAAGATCTTTTTAAAAAAAGAGAGAGAGAGAGAGTGAGAGAGAGAGAGAGAGGGAGAGAGAGAGAGAATTTTTAATATTTATTTTTTAGTTATCGGTGGACACAACATCTTTGTATGTGGTGCTGAGGATCGAACCCGGGCCGCACGCATGCCAGGCGAGCGTGCTACCGCTTGAGCCACATCCCCAGCCCTTTGGGGTATTTTTAAAGCAAGACTCATCAGTACCACAGGAGGTTTTCCTTTCCCTGAAATGTTGAAATTACTTCGTGTGCCCTTTTTTTTTCATTTATTTTTTTTAAGTCATAATTAGAACATTTAACATGGAACCCACTCTCTTGACAAAATTTTAAGACCACAATACAGAATTGGTAACTCTAGGAAGGACATTGTAGGCATATTCCTAGAACTTATTAGTGTGCAGAGCTGTAACTTTAAGCTCTTTGAGTAGCAACTCCCCAGCCATCCCCCAACCCAGCCAGCATTTTACCCACTCTCTGTTCCTGTGGGTTCAAGTATTTTTGATTCCTCATAGGAGTGGAGTCATGCGGTATCTGTCCTTCTGTGACTCTGTTGCATTTGATGTCACGTCCTCAAGGTTTATTCATGTTGTTCTGGAGCACAGGATTTCCTTCCTTTTTAAGATAGATTGCCGTTCCATGTGCCAATTGCATGTGCAGTAAGCACAACTCCCTGTCTTTAAGTCCCCCACAACTATCTGGACCCTCTCCCAAATGACCTCATCAACAGGTTGAAAGGGAGTCACAGAATCCACAGAGGGGCTGAGGGCTGAGCAGGGACTGAGATTAGACTTGTGTCTAATCTCACAGTTATGCATTACTCATCTGTTGCCTTCCTCTCTTCCCCAGAGGGTCACTGGTACACCTGCTTATCAGTCTTCCACTTATCATTTGATTCTGGAAAGTTTTTCTATCACTTTCTTCTCCCTGTAGAGCACCCCTATGTAGGAACCAGCTCAATTCTCCTTGTCCATTTATTTGTAACTTTACCCATTGGATGGGGTGATGGCCAGTGTGCCCAGCCACCCAGTGGACATGCCCCCGTGCTGTCATCCAGACTGCAGGGGAGCAGCCCCATGGTGGATGGCACTGGTTTGTCTGGCAGCCTGAGCAGAGAGGGTTTAAGTGGAAGGCAGCATATGTTTTGTGAGATTCCTAAAACCCAAGCTTTGAAGCCCATTGAAATTCTATCCAAAAATTCTAGCTGAATCTTCCTAGTTGGAAACTTCAGTACTCACAGAGCTGACTTTTTGTATGTGGTGAGTTAAGTGGTAATTGAAGTTTGCAAATTTTTATGTGATTTATTCTGGTTTTCTTCCAATGGCCTGTAAGCTGAAACTTAAATACAGCTTCATTGTAGTTGCTTCTTCCTGTTTAGAGAGGCTGGCATAATATTTTGTCTTCTGGGCTCAAATAACCATGTAATTACTCTGTAATCATATAGTAATTAGCATGTACTATATGCATTTATTACATAATTATATTCCTGAAGGATTGCATGGCAATTATACTTGCATTCAGCATATCATTTATATACTGTATCATGAACAAGTGTATAATTTGTTGCTGTTTTCTTTGATCCTAATTTCAGTTTATAGGGCAGGAGCTGGAAGCATTCTCCTGTTGCCTTGTTTGCTCCTAGCCAGGCAGGTGCCTGAGTTCCTTTGGCCTCACTCCATAGCTTCTCCTTATTTTCACATCGAGGGGAATACTGGGGGCTTGTGTGTTGCTGTACATTCCCATTGTCCGCACCGCTAACACTTTCTCATTGCCACAAAGTCATTAAGTTATTAGCTTCAAAATTTGTTGAGTTCTAGAGCTGCCAGCATGGCCAGGTGAATGTCAAGATCTCAATGAGAACAGGAGAGGCGTGGGCAGACCTCATGCTGACCCGCGGTCTCACCATTTCTCTCTGCTTTACAGTGGAGCACATTCCCAAAGGGAACAACTGCCTGGACGCAGCCAAGGCCTGCAACCTGGACGACACCTGCAAGAAGTACAGGAGCGCCTACATCACCCCGTGCACCACCAGCATGTCCAACGAGGTCTGCAACCGCCGCAAGTGCCACAAGGCCCTGCGGCAGTTCTTTGACAAGGTCCCTGCCAAGCACAGCTATGGAATGCTGTTCTGCTCCTGCCGGGACATCGCCTGCACAGAGCGGCGGCGGCAGACCATCGTGCCTGTGTGTTCCTATGAGGAGCGGGAGAAGCCCAACTGCTTGAGTTTGCAGGATTCCTGCAAGACGAATTACATCTGTAGGTAAGAGCACCGGTGGCTGGTGATCACTGAGGTGCAGGGGGCCTTGGTGGCCTCTCCAGCTGCCAAGCTTCAGTGTCCTGTGTTGCTCCAGGGCGGAGAGCAAGGCAAGGTTTGTGCCTCTGAAGATTGGTGAGAGTCTGACTTCACCTTCTAAAAATTGTTTTTTCACAGCTGTTCATCCTGTCACCCTGGGGACAATCCTGTCTTTGACTAGGGGGTGCTGAGAGGTTCTGGAATCAGGAAAGTAGCACTGCATGTCCTGCGCACCTCTCAGGTGGGGAGGGGATCACCTGGGTCAGGTGAGCTTGAGCCAGGTACCCACTCCTCAAGTCTTCAGGGGCAGTTGGAGTTTAAGAAAGTCAGGGGAGGATTTGACGGGAAATATGGAGCCTCTTGGTCTTCAGGGACAGAACACTGGAAGACACCAGCCAAAGGGAGTGAGCTGAGCCATGTCCGTCTGGGGAGGACAGCTTTGAGAACACCTGAGTCTGTTCTGAGCCATTCTGTGGCTACGAAGAGTGGGTACCTTCCTGCCTAGCTCTTCTTCCACCTTCAGCTGCCATCAGAAATTCTGCAGGGCCTGAATCCTTTTCCTTTTGGGCCATTTATTGATTGATTTTAATGTTTGAAAGAGTCTAGAAGCACATTCTCCATATAAAAAGAGAAAAAGCCATGTGGAGTTGGTAGAGTGGAAAAGAAAAAGTACCCTCTGTCTGCTCCCACTCAGCCCCAGCCCTCAGGCGACTACTGTTGACAATTTGATGTATGTCTTTCGAGAACTTAGGGCTGAGTTCAGTTGCTGATCAAAGCAAGTAGACTTTGATGAGCAGAGATTGAGTCTTTGCAGACTGGGGCTGTGCTGCTGCCTCATTCAGAAGAGCAAGCTGGATCCTAGGCTGGAGATTCAGATGGGCCAGCTTATTGGATAACACCTGTACATTGTCCCCAAGGTAGGATCTAGGAGCCTTTGGTGCCATGTCTGACAAAATCCTGTGTGCTCAATAAGCTTTAGACAGGTAGACAAGTAGGTGAGAGTGTAACTAGGTTCTTGTTTTCGGTTCCCCATTTCTGAAGGGCAGAGAGTGGGAAAGAAGGTCTGATATGTTGAGAGCTCTGGTCAGCTGAGTTTCTGATCAACTTATTTTATTCTAGGAGAATGGGATCCCATTCCTTCTTTAAACCAGCTCTCAGAGAAACCAAAGCAAAGTGAAAGTCCTAATTATTTCTCTACCTCTCTCATGGTGAAGATCTTCTGGGAGTAATATCTCTCCACTTTTTGTTTTTTTCTACCTGGAAGGTGGTGACCTGCTTTATGAAGAGGGACTCAGATGTCCAAGTGTAAAATAAAGAGTTTGCCTGCTGGGAGGAGTCAGATGTTCCTGGTCCACTGGGAACCTCAGCTGTGAGCTAGGAGCAGGATGGGTAGTGGAGATCCTGAGGGCATGGACAGGCCTCAGTGAGCCCAAATGTGGGAAGCCAATCAGGCAGGGAGTTAAAGAACCCACGGCGGAAGGTGAATATAGTCAAGGAGCAGGACAGGGGAACTTGGTCCAGGGAACAGGGATGGGAAGGAGCAGAGAATCTGAAGACTACTCCTCTGGAGACCCCCAGATCTGAAACCCAAATTCCTGGGTATCTTCAGTCTTTGAGCAGAAGGAACTCCTCTTCTATGAACAGGACTTGATTTCTAGAGTATTACTTGCCTTAAATCCAAATAGCTTCTTCCTGGGATACCATCTGACCACTTCTGGGCCACAGCCAGGAGGCTTGGGTTTTGGTCCTGCCTGGAGAAGGGAAGCTGCACAGGGCAGGAAGGGAGCAGTGGGTAAGGCTGTATCCATTGAACAAGGACTAGGAGGTGGCAGAGGTAGGGGAGCCTCTCTGCTCACAGGTTTGGCCTACACATGAGGTCCAGAGAAGGTCTGTGACTCTCCTACACAGGCCAGAAGCGCAACCTGAACAGTCAATTTGCGTTTCCTGGCTCATTGTTCTATAGAGAGACTCCTTGGAGGGTTGATATCAATCCATATATCAGATTGCTGCCACACTAAGCTGTAGCAAGAATAGCTGGGAACTGGGGGACTTGGGGGGCTCTGGGGAGAGGGGCAGCAGAAAGACCTGCAGAAAACAGGACGTTTGGGCTGCTATCTGGGGGTTCAGACTGACCTGAAGAAGAACAGTTTTCTGAAACTTAAAGACACCCCCAATATCAGGGAATAGACCCAGCTGATGCAGCAGAAATATATAATAGGTTCAAGACAGCCTGTGCCTAATAATGATTGTGCTTGATGGTGCGGCGGTTGGAATGGAATGGATGGTAGCCACCAAGCAGTGGGGTGGAGGCCCCCTGAATGGAGGTTGCACCTGGAGGCTGTCACATTTCTGGCTCTAGGTAGAGCTCTGAGGCAACTTGAGAGTCCAGGGCTGGCTACCCAGGAGCCCCACCAAGTGAGATTTGTCTCTCGGTGTGATTGATGGGCTCTATGCCCTGCCTTGAGTCTTTCCTGGGAAGGTGAGTCAGGGCCTTCCCCTGGTGATACCTGTCGTTAAGTTATTTAGCTCATGTTTTCTTTCCAGAGCCTGAACTTATTACTCATGATTACCCTGTCCCTGTCTAATGCGGTAAATGTAATTTGAGCTGCTAGGTTGGTTCGCAGCGTTTTCTTTCATCAGATTTTATTAATCTTGTCTTTAATTTTATGCCTTTCATTTCATAACTACTCAATCCATCTCAGGGAGGCTGTTGTACAGCTTCCCAGAGCGGCAGCTCTGGTGGGGAAATCACAGTCCCTGGAACCCCAGCCCCACTGCCCTGATGACTTCAGGCCTCATTTGAATAACCCCAGTAGGAAAGATGGCAAGAGGGAAAATTGCTTCCTAAACACCACACTCTTGGAAAGCTCACACTTGCAAATGCTCCCTTTCCATCTTAACATCAGAGCCTATCAAAGAGCTGCTGCGGCTCATTAAAACTTCTCCAATGTAATGTTGTCCTACTCCCAGCTTTTAGGCTTCCTTCCCCAGGGTCCCAGGATACCTCTGCACAAAACCTGTTTCTCTTCTGCTTTGTGCCTTCAAACAGACAAGACGCAACTTGAGCTTTTCCTTTTGACTTTGTTTTCCTTCTCCCTTTTTAGGAAGCTGACAGGTTCCTTTCCTCTTGGGGTAGCTAAGAAAAGTGAGAACTTGACTGTTTAGGCCTCCAAGCTTGTCTACAGCAAAGCAAGCACAGAGGTGTTATTAGAGGGCTGGGGGGAAATTCAAAGCCTCACATCCTCCCCTGGAGCACAGGGTCTCCCCTGCCGGTTTTCCTCTTGTTGCTTTCCTTACTGCCTGGAAGGATGTCGGTACTGAGTTTGGCCTAAAGGAAACATATCCCTTTATTCCTGATGCAAATTGTTTTATATACATAATGCAAATTTATACCTTACCTCCTTCCTCCCAAACTCTGACATCAGAATAAACTCAGCACTTGAGCACTGAGTCGGGCTGCCACATATTTGCTCCCATCTCTTTAATTTTTCTAATTAATCACTCAAGTGCTGCAGCTATTCCTCATTATCAACAGGTCCCCTTGAGCATGACCCTCCTGTTTTCATCTAAGAATCACAGAGGCGCACTCAAACCTCATTCTGCTCCCAATGCCAAACCGAGAGGGAGCCTGAGGCTACTTACTGAACAGTCTGCCTTCCTCGTGGCTTTAACTGCTCCCACACAGCCCAGAGCATGATTGATGGCTTGGTGGCCCTGACTGTCTTGGTCATCCTGCATGTGTAGCAGAGGTGCTCTATCCCTGGACACCAGTGTAACAGCTCTTGGTGCATGCTCAGCTATGCAGCCATTCTCCCCAAAGCATGACATTTTGCTCCAGGGAAGGGTCCTCAGGAGTTCCCTCCAGAGCCTACCAGCTGTCCACCCCCAGCAGTAGCAGTCTCTCTCTTTCCTAGCAGCATTTGCTGAAGGGGATCTTGGTGTTGCCTTTACATTCAGGAATACTGGGTCAAGGATGTTTCATTCCTCCTAGAAAGATTTTGATAATGTTGAATCTCACAAAGAAAGGGTCAGGGGCTCTATGCCCTATGTCCCCAAGGTTTTCATGGCTTTGTGGAGATATACTGCCCCCTCTAGGTGCCCAACTTGATACCCACACAGTCTCCAAAGATGGTGATTTTGATAAACTCACCGAGTATGTAGTGTTTTTCTTTCCCTGGGGCATTCAAGATCTTATAATTATATCCTGGAAGCCTGGGGGATTTTTAGCAGAAGTAGGAAGGCAAGGTGTCCCTTGGTATGGATCTGGAATAAAAACGCATGCAATTTCTGAACTTCTTCCCTAAACAATGCCGTATTTGCCAGGCTAAGGGTAACCCTGTTATATACATTGTATATATATATATATATATATATATATATATATATATATATATATATAAAGCCCTGTTATATATATTGTGCTTATCAAATGCAGCAGTTGGGGATGCATGTCACAAAACCACTCAATGAATTTCCACTCTGGTGACTTATTCAGGCTGACAGTGTTAGTATGCCTTTAACACGTGAGAAATGTGTTTCATTTGCCTGGAATCAGGCCCCTTTTGCACAGTAAACTGTGGATCTTATAGATCAAGGACATCCTCTACTTCTGGGGCTTGAATTTCTGAGTCAAAAAAATGGATTCTTCATCACCATATCCAGGCTTGTCTTGACATGTGGCAAGCACAGGAGAAAATGGCTCAGAGGATAATTAATGCCTAAAACTAGATGGGTAGATTAATGTGGCACTTAATTTTATTTTACACTGATTCATTCACAAATGGAAATCAGCAATTAGACAATGCAAACTTTTGAACCATGGAAAGAAAGGTTCGGGAATTTGAGAAAATACAAGTAAAACATTTTCCAGTTCATTTGAGCAGTTTTCATTTCAAATGATTACATGGGTGTCTTTAGCAATGCATTCCAAGTGCCGAATGGCTTTGTTTTTCACATGCCACACGGGT